CCTCTTTTTCGCTGACCCTCTACTTTACCAAGCATGATGTCCTTCTCCAGGGACTGATCCCTCCTGATAACATGTCCAAAGTACGTGAGACATGGTGTCACCGTCTTTGCTTCTAAGGAGCGTTCTGGCTGGACTTCTTCCGGCACAGATTGGTTCCTGCTTTTACCTCCGCGTTGTTGTTGCTGCTGTTGGTGTGTGTCATTGAGTCAATTCCAGCAGTGATTTCAAAATTTGATTTTATGCTCTTAACGTCCTATTCTAACTTAATTAAATACTTGAATGTAAAGCAAATAGAAGGGGCTTTGTGAAGTTCACAGTAGTTTTCAACTTTTTCTGAAATATCTTTTTCAGCATACTCATGTACCCAGACTCATACCATTAATAACAAGCAATTGCACATCAAAATCAGTTCCTGTGAGGAGGTAAGTTTCGGGGGGAGGTTTTTTTTTTTTAATTATAGTTTTAATGTCACTTTCTTTAATTCTTAGTCTGATGCAAAAATTATTTGTCACAAATTTCTTGCTTTCCAGAAACAGTAATAAATTTTTCATCTCATGTAAGGGAAAATGCATGGGGCAATTATAATGACCACCCATTTTAGTTTTATCACATTAAGCTTTGGTTTATTTGGGCTGCTGGATTGCTTTGGGTTGCAGCAAGCGTGGGGTTTGGAGTTGGGTCTGGGCTAGAGTCCTGCAAGTGCCACTGCCAATTACCTTGGCAGTTAGTTAACTGCTTGGACCTTACTGTCTGTATGTGTTGATAGCGCTCATGATGCTGAGACCATAGAAATGTAAACATTCAAGGAGATACACATTACTAAAACTTACCACGGCGCTTGGAACAACTTGAGCAATCACGTTACTGTGTTCGCATGCTTGTCCTCCCATGCACACATGTTCTCCCTCTCTCCCTCTGATTTCTGCAATTTTTAGCATCAGCACCATCACCGTCGATAGTAGAAATACGAAAACCAAGATTTATGTATTTGATGTTTAAGGATATTATAAAGAACTCTCTCCCTTTTCTTCATTTGATAAATATATTTATCTAAATACTTTTCTTGTTAGAGAGAAGCTGAACTAGACTTCATTATTACCTTGAAGTGGTTCAGAATTTTGGCAACCGTTGTTCCGTCACCTCTCTCTTACGTCAGGGTTCGGCACACTACAGCCCACAGGTCAAATCTAGCCAGCAGTCTGGTTTTGTCCAGCCCACAAGCTAAGAATGTTGTTTGCATTTTAAAGGATGTCTTTAAAAGCCGGAGAAGAACAAGAATATGAAACAGAAACCATATGTGGTCTACAAAACCTAAAATTATTTGCTATTTGGTCTTCTTACATCGAAGAAAGTAGTAATTGGAGAAATAGTAACGTGACAGAGAAATGGGAGTCAGGAAATGCATCGTAGAATTGCCTTAAAGTGGGGTACAAGCAGTTCAGTAACTGTAGAGGAGACGAGTAGGGTGCAGCCTAAGTGGAGATATAAGGTTCCAGTGGGAAAGGAGGCTGATGGGTAGACTGAGGTTAGAACATGGGGGGCTTTGAATATCATGAAGAAGAATTTTAACCCTGTGCTTAGTTCCTGGGAGTCTTTGACAGTTGTAGATTTTTGGTGAGAAGGTAACATTATGGAGCCTAGTTTTTATTCCAGCTGTGAAGGACCAATGGGAGACATTAGTTCAGTTAGTAAGGAGTTGTTTTAACTCATGTAAGATAGAAACAGAGTCTGAACTAGGGCTGCATTAATGGTAATTGGTTGAAGGAGATAGAGTCAGGAGATATTTCAGGTGTGGAAACAAGACAGTTGCATATCGTGGAGGGAGGGGTTGTCAGGTTCTTCAGACTGAGCTCTGGAGTCGCAGCTCCATTACTTCACTAGTGATATGACTTTTGGTAAGTTAACTTAACCTCTGTTTCTTCTTTCCTAATCTGTATAAACCAAAACCAAACCCATTGCCTTAGAGTCAATTCCGACTCATAGCAACCCTATAGGACAGAGTAGAACTGCCCCATAGGGTTTCCAAAACTGTAATCTTTACAGGAGCAGACTGCCCCATCTTTCTCCCACAGTCTGTATAATATGGGCTAAAAGAATAGATTTGTGTGGATAAGATAATTACAGTCAATTCTCATTATACTTGTGGATTCCATGTTTGCAAATTCGCCTAGTTACTAAAATTTACTTTTCCCCCGGAATCAGCACTCTTTCAGTATGCTTTTGTGATCATTTGTAGACATGCACAGAGGGGTGGAAATTTCGAATTGTCCAAAGTGGACTCTCCAGCTAAGGTTGAATAAGGCAACACTCTGCCTTCTTGTTTCAGCTCTCATACTGTAAATAAGTGCCCTTTTCGCAGTCTACTTAGTGCCACATATTTTGCATTTTTGTGGGTGATTTTACTATTTAAAATGCCTCACCCCCTGCCCAAGTATAATGTTAAAGTTATGTCTAGTGTTTCTAAGTACCAGAAGGCTGTGATGTGCCTTATGGGGAAAATACATGTGTTAGATAAGCTTTGTTCAGGCATGATCGATCGTGCGGCTGACTGTGAGTTCAGTGTTAATGACTCGGCAATATATGTTAAATAATGTATCTTTAAACTGAAACACACATAAAACAAGGTTATGTATTGTTTGGTTGATGAAAATGTTTTGACCAGAGTCTCTCAGGAACCTAGCTCTGTATTTCTCCTAGGAGCTAATACAGTATTTGCTAAATTTTCAGTGTTCATGACACTTTTATAGAACACAACCACTGCAGATAATGAGAACTGACTGTAATCAGTTCTTCTGTATGTGGTGCTTGAGTTGACATTCTGTGCTTCCACGGAGACGTCCATGAGATAGTTGGAACTTCGACTTCACAGCTGAGGTGAAGAACCAGTGCTGGAGATGGAGTATTAGATGTGAAAAGCATAGCTCATAGTCAGAGGTAGGGGTACGGATGTTGTTACTCAAGTAAAGACTATAAAAGAGAAGTGGGCTGAGATCAGCGCCAGCCAGGTGAGCACCTGTTTAAGGATGGGTGGAGAAAAAATGTTAATAGCGGAAGAAAAACAAGACAGAGCTGTGTCATCAGATACCAGGGAAGAAGAGGAGCTCCAGAATGAGACAGTTGAAAAAGTTGAGAACTAGAGGGCTCAAGAGAAAAGGTATAAATATTTACTTAAAAATCATATACGGGTATACAGTGTAAATACGGAAATGTAGAATGCAGGATCCGGCTGGCATGTCTTTCTTGGTCACCATTGTGTATCTTCAATAAATACGGAAATGTAGAATGCAGGATCCGGCTGGCATGTCTTTCTTGGTCACCATTGTGTATCTTCAATAAATACGGAAATGTAGAATGCAGGATCCGGCTGGCATGTCTTTCTTGGTCACCATTGTGTATCTTCAATGTCTAGTGCTTAGTAGCCGCTTCATAAATATTTTTTAAATTAATAAATGAAATTTGTTATGTTTTATAGTTGACAAATGTTTTAAGTTAAAATTATGAGGAACTCTTAAGGTCTTTTTGATGGATTCAGCATCAGAATAGTAGGAGTAAGTAAGTTAGGAGGTATTCAACAGTTAAGATATCTAAAAAAATTTTTAACTTATACTTTAATTCGGAGCAAAGTGCAGTATTACAGAAGAAAGCATTAATGTGGTTCTTAATATAATGTTTAATTATAATTTATATTTTTCAGACGCTCATTTGAATTTCTAGATTTGTTGTTACAAGAATGGCAGACTCATTCATTGGAAAGGTATGCATGATCTGTTCTTCCCTCCTACCCCGTGCCTTCCCCCATTGCTACTGGTTCTTTAAAAGTGGATGGTATTGGTTTTGTATTATTTCTCATTGTGCTTAAAGGTTGTTTGTATTGGTTTTCATTTAAAGCTGTGGTGTGCTTCCTCTTAATCATTGCTGCTCCTTCTTTGTGGGGTGGATAAGGCTCTGTTAACTAGAATAGGATATCTAAGATACTGCAGGTTGAAGTCAGCAAAAGTTTTAAATGGTATCTCTAGTCATGTGAGATTGGATTTCTGAGATATAATTAATCAAGTAGTGAATGATTTAATATAGAAGGAAGGGGCATCCTTTCAGTGGAAGAGATAAGGAACTTTGCTGGAAAGTTTATTCTCAACAGCATTAGGTGTCATTGGTCAGCATTAGGTGTTGTCTTAGTCTGGGTTCTCTAGAGAAGCAAACCCAGTAAAATGTATAAATATATACAGAGAGATTTATATCAGAGAAACAGCTCACGCAATGGTAGAGGCTGGAGCATCCCAAATCTGTGGATTAGGATAGAGGCTTCTCTCAATTCACGTAGGCTGCAGGGGCTGGTGAACCCAAGATCGGCAGGTTGGAAAGCAGGGCTCTTGCTTACAGGCTGTGAATATCAACGAATCCCAAGGTTGGCAGGCAAGACCGCAAGGCTTCTCCTGATTCACGTAGCTGCAGGGGCTGGTGAACCCAACATCGGCAAGTTGAAGAGCAGGACTCTGCTCACAGGTTGTGAAGATCAACAAATCCCAAGATTGGCGGATAAGCTGATAGCTCAAATTCCAAGAACTGGAGGTCAGACGAACAGGAGGCAGCCTCAGGATCCAGAGCGAGCAGAAAGCCAGAACGCCTGCTTATATTCGGATGCAGGCCACACCCCCAAGGAAACTCCCTTTCAACTGATTGGCTATTCACAGCAGATTCAGTCATGGGAGTGATCACATATAAACACTTGAGAATCATGGCCCAGCTAAGTTGACACACAATCTCGACCATCACAGATGTCATTGGTCAAGTGTGTACTGGGCAGAGTTTAGCATAGCTCTGAGAGGAACGAGGAAAGCGGTGGGCAGCAGCTGGTCACTGGCTTCTTGCAGAACTCTGTTTCTCATTAGTTTCAAGTTTGAAGCTTGGAAATACCTGCATTTTTATTAAGTACATTGCTGATTTTCCATTTTCATGGAAATCCTTATATCATGTATTATCTTGCCACAGCCTATTTTTTAAAAATAGAATGTGTTGTTTAATGTAGGCATGATATAATTCCAAGCTTTCTTTACATACTTTGGTGGCAGCTGCTGTTCAGTTTGGTCAGATCATAACTGATGATCCTCTTAGCAAGGTGTTTTTTTACAGTGGATGGGTTAGTGAACCACATAGAAGGTGGTGGTTGTTTTTTTAATAAAAAAGGTAAAATTTGGGTACTATGTATTTATACATTATCCGGATTCCTTATAAAAATAATTGTTTTCAGGTTTATAGTGAGTGAATTATTAAAAGGAAACCATGCACGAGTGGAATACATGGAGTGGATTCTTGGAACAATCGTGCTGTCTTAGATTTATTGTAATGCACTAACAAATCTTTTTACTTCCCTTGCCCCTTTGTAATTGATGTTAACATATAGGCAGTATTGTTTATGGTGAAATACATGCCTTTATACAAGAACAGAATGATGTATTTATTTTATAGACATGCAGCTGTCCTGGTTGAAACAATTAAGAAGGGAATTCATGATGCTGATGCTGAGGCCAGAGTGGAGGCAAGAAAGTAAGTTTATAGTGTATTTTTGTGACCGTTCCACCAGTCTTTGGTCTTTTCTCTGAGAGGAATTGTATTGGGAGAATAGAAATACCAGTGACATCCCAAGTATTGTACTTCACTTGCTCGTTAGTAAAGTTGAGATTGGTTTTTCCCCATTACATCCGCACTAGCCATCTAAACTGTCATCTGTGTAATTATCAGTATTTCTATCCCATCATAACCTGTTCACTTCCATTGTAAATAAAAATAACTGTCATTTATTGAACATGTGTACCTAACATTCTGTGAGGCACTTGGCGTATGTTATTTTCTGATCCTTAAAATGATTCTGCAAAGTTGGTGTTACTTCCATGGATGGTGGCTGAGGTTTGGAGATTTTGCAGTTTACTCGGGGCCCCGTAAACCGTAAGCGGCACAGCCAAGTTTTAAAGTGAAGTCTGCTTTTGTGGTCTGCTGCCTTTCCACTGAAAACTGTTAAATTTATCCACATCACATACAGTAGATGTATTAAAAACCTGTGGGTTCTTTATTCTTCTTGAATGTGCGCAATTTACTGTTAATGTCTAATCATGGAACCTGTTACATCATGTCCTTTTCTTATTTGTTTTACAGGACGTATATGGGTCTTAGAAACCACTTTCCTGGTGAAGCTGAGACACTGTATAATTCCCTGGAGCCGTCTTATCAGAAGAGTCTTCAAACTTACTTAAAGAGTTCTGGAAGCGTAGCTTCTCTTCCTCAGTCAGACAGGTCCTCATCCAGCTCACAAGAAAGTCTCAAGTAAGGTTCATACGTGTGCTCATCACTGGTCTCTTCTTCGTCACTCCCCAGAGTTACTTAAGTTGTCGTTAGTTGCCATTGAGTTGATTCTGACTCATGACAAGGGTTAGCACTCGGCTACTAGCTGAAAGGTTGGTAGTTTGAATCCACCAAGAGGTGCCTCACAAGCCAGGCCTAGCAATCTGCTTCTGAAAGGTCACACAGCCTTGAAAACCCTATTGTGCAGTTCTCCTGCACGCACATGAGGTCACCATGAGTACTTAAGTTGGATGGTTGGATATCTGCTTGAATTTACCTAAAGCCTTAAAAAAAGGTTGATTCAAGTATACTTAATTTCTTTGGTCTGTTATCTCAAGGGTTGGATTATGTACTAGCGTAGCTTCTTCTCTATATGTTCATATCTGTGAAAAAGATTGAGAAGCACTGATCTGTATCTTTTTTAATGTACTAAAAGTAGTACATATAGTAAGTAGCCCATTTCTGGGACATTTTAATGGAGATTCAGAATCATTGTCAGAGTTCTTACACAGCCCTGTATGGCTAGTGAAATCCCACCTGTTTTCCTTCCTCACCTCTTGCACAGCTTAAGAATTCAGCAAATCCTTCAGGGGCAGAATTACCTAGTATCTGACTCACTTCTCTGTAACTCCATTCTCATTATTATGGTGACATCCATGAATCTTTGCTGCCTTGGCAGCCCTGTCCTTACTTATTGTCTCCCTCGTCCACGAGATTGTCTAAAGCTTTCATGACCTCTCGACTTCTTAGCAGCGGCCCTCTGTCCATCTGCGTGGCTTCTCGCCCTGTGCCAAGTATCTGCAGATTCCCCAGGGAAGAGCAACTTGCAGGACGTCAGCTTGTCCCTCTCTTTGGGAGTTTGAATCCCACAGAGATTTTCGCTTGTCTTGGCATCTCCCTGATATAGGGCTGGGATGAGGGTGAGGCAAGAGGGGCACCTGGTGTGCAAAATGTAAGGAGGCACTCATGCAAATCTTGCGAGTGCTGTTGTTCTGAAACTATTGTATGCATATATATGTGTGTATGTATACGTTTCATAAACATACATGTACACATGGATACTTGTGTGTTCGTATATCAAAGTGGTCTTGCCAAAATCATAGCCTGAATCAGATCAGTCTTCTGGATCTGTCAGTTTACAGGAACTACATGGAGCAGAGGAAAATATTATATGATAATATGGGAATGCAACTGGCAAAATCCACAATATGGGAAATTCTATAGGATAAGCAACCGAGTTCCTTTAACATATAAATGGGTGGTGGTGGGGAGATGGAAATAAATGAAGTAGGACCTATAGATTAAAACAGATTTAAGAGGCTTACCAAGCATATTTGATGTGTGAACCTCTTTTAATTTGAACAGACTAACTGTAAAACAATATTTAGACAACTGGGATATTTGAACACTGGCTGGACATTTAATGACATCCGTGAATTATTGTCAGATTTTTAAAGATGATAATGGTACTGCAGTTCTGTTTTTTAAAAAAGTGTCAGTCTGTTTTTAAGATATGTACTTAAATAGTATGGCTGTTTGCTTCAAAATAATTAGAAAGCTGTGTGTGTGCGTGTGCGTGTGCGCGTGCGCGTGTGTGTGTGTGTGTGTGCGCGTGCCTGACGGGGTGAGATCTGAAACAAGATTAGCAAGAAGTTGATGAATGCTATAGGTGGATATGGGTACTGGGCACCAGCATGGGGTCATTCTTTGCTTTCATATATGTTTGAAATTTTTCATTTAAATTTCCATTAAAAATTAATAAATAGGATAAAAATACATGCCTTGATGTGGCATTTTTATAGCAACAAACTTAACCTGTTCTTAACCAAGGCTTCAAACTGGTCCATTCCGGTTCAAACCCCTACTGAGAATTTGCATTCCCACCCCAGATGTACTGAATCAGATCCCCAGGTGATTCTTATGTATAAGAATCCTGGGAATTTGTTAGAAATGCAAATTCTCAGCAGGTGTTCGAAGCCCTGTTCTTAACTATAAAGAATGTTCACTTCATTATTTTTGTAACAGCAAACATTAGAGACTACATAAATTGCCATCAGAAAAGAACTATTTACAAAGTGGTACAAGCAGAAAAAAGAGCTGTGGGTATTATTGTTGAAAGAGGTAGATTTATTGTGTGGCAGAACATGTATACAAGCTCCCACTTGTGTGAAACAGGGAGTGCACGCAGTCATACACGGACACACGTGAACGTAGAATGTCTCTGGAGGAGGGTATACAAGAGACTGATGGTAATGGTTGCCTTTGTGGAGGACCTCATGTGGAAGGAGACTTACTTTTTCACGTGTTTCCTACTGGTTTTGTTTTCTCCCACGCATGCGTGATACTTTTTTTTTAAACGTAAAAAAAGAAAAGAAAAAATTTTGAAGCCAGTTCTTTCTGGCCTGTCTCTTCTGGTCTTTAGGTGGTGTTACATTCATTGTGGATCACTGAATAGTGATTTCAGAGCTTTAAAATGCTTCTCAACAAAGCATGCGGCCAAGTCGGGTCAGCTGGTGGCCCTCAGGAGGACCTGTGCCGGGTGGGGTCAGCTGGGGGCCCCCAGGAGGACCTGTGCCGGGTGGAGTCAGCTGGGGGCCCTCAGGAGGACCTGTGCCGGGTCGGGTCAGCTGGGGGCCCCCAGGAAGACCTGTGCCGGGTCGGGTCAGCTGGGAGCTGTTAGGAGGACCTGTGCCGG